GCCTCGATTCCTATTTCTTTTATTTTCTTACTATAAAATACATATTATTTATGCTTTTTATTATTCCGAAATTAAACGAAAAAATCAAATATTATTGTTATTTCGAAATAAAATAAAAATAAATAAATTGGTCGTTGTTGTTTCGAAATAAAATATAAAAACTAAAAAAACAACTACCTTGCAAAACTGTTTTGTATTTCTACCGGAAAACAAAAAACCTCCCCTTTCCTATTATTTTTCTTGGCTTTTATAGCCAAAAGTTTACATAATTTAATCATAAAATATTACAAATGTTTCAGTGATTTTGCGCATGTCTCTGCAGGAATCAAGGGATGATGAGAGCAGGTGAAGTGGGTAAACTTCATTTGACTTTTGATTTGAAAATTGGGGATTACAAGGATGAAATGTACAATTGATCCGGTGTACGCAGTATACACAAATAATTTATGTGTGTATATATATATATTAATCATATAAAATAAAAATATTTACATACATTTAGAAATATTTGGCTCAGTCGTGCGTTCCTGTGTAATGGAGTGGTGAATGCTGGTATTATTGAAGCTCAGGCCATCTGTGACGGTGTTCGGATGGCCGTCGAAATGAAATTTCCGAGTGTGATGGTTGAGATTGATGCTTTCAATGTGGTGCAACAATTGGCGAACCATTAGTCAGACCGATCTGTTCTGCTGTTTTATTTGGCTGAAGCTCGTCGACATCTTGATACTCATCCTCGGGTCACTGTTTCCTACATTCGACGTGAGGCGAGTGACGTGGCACATACTTTGGCCAATTTTGTTTCACTTAATGCTCGACCTCTATATTTTGAACATGTGCCCCCTTTATGTATTTCTGCTATTGTTACTGTTGATGCACTTCGTAGTGAAATAAAATATGGTTTAACTTAAAAAAAACATATAATTTACACTCAAAACACAACATTTAATATATATGATTAACATGTAATATAATAATCAAACAATGTTTAATATAACCTACCCTTTCCTTTGCTGCTATCTCCCTCCCTTATCTTTTTTTCTTTTTTGAGTTTGTATTATATTTTATAGATCATATCAATTTTTTCTTCTTTGATTTTCTTTAGCTGGCGGTGGCACCAATTTTGATGTTGGTTGTCAACCATTGGTTCTCTTTTTTCTTTATTTAGTTTTTGTTTTTTTAATAAGAATAATTCTGTCTTTGTGACACGTTTATATTTGCATTTGTGGCACATTTTTCAATTTTTTTCTCTGTCTTTTGTTTGTTCTTTTACTTATATTTTCTTAGGGTTGAATTTGACGATGTCATGACTGATTAAGATGACGCTTATTCAAAATATTGTTGATATTCCTTGCTATGGACCTTTAGATTGAATTTGGATGCGTGATTTTACATTTATAATATCTTCTTACGACGTTCGGCTCTGATCTGTAGTTCTCGGTGGTCTTTCAATAGCTTAATTCCCTTTTGTTCGTTTGTCGATACAATCAGTTTTATTAGTATCTATTTTAGTCTCTTGGTTGCGTTTTTTAACATTTTCTATGTATGATCCTTATATGATCTAAAGTGACTAGTTCAATGTTAGAGGAAAAGTTCAAATTTTGTATTTAGTTTACAGTGATAGTTGTAAACTCATTATAATTTTGGATATTTTCACTTTTTTTTAACAATACTAGAGGCTTCTATTAAAAAATAATGTTTAATATAAATATATAAATAAATGTAAGATAAACAATACAAGGTATATTTAATGTGCACATGTATAATTATAATATAATATAATATAATATAATATAATATAATATAATATAATATAATATAATATAATATAATATAATATAATATAATATAATATAATATAATATAATATAATATAATATAATATAATATAATATAATATAATATAATATAATATATACACATAATTTACAAATATTAAAGTATTATTTTGATCCTGGGAGCAACCTCTAATTTACAATTATATCGATCGTAACAAAAGAAATTTTAAGATTGTGGTTTACACCACAAAGCAATGAGTTCGTTTTATTTATTTTGATTAATTTTTACATTGAGTACTAATATTATATTTTATTTTCAGTATTTTTTTATGTAAACCTCGAACACCCCTTATATGGTACCTGCAACAAAGATTTGATGCATCCCACACAGAATAACGTTAACAACAAATTACAATTATAGGATCTGATTACGATAGAGCTTTAGATTAAACCTAGGAAAATTTAGTGTTTCCTGGACATTGTTGTTAAGAGTTTTTTTTTACTATGAGGCTTTTGATTTGACGGGGGAACATGTCTCTTTCGTTGGTTTTCCTTATTACCCATGGTTTGGACCTTTACCATTAACAAAATTCTCTCACTTCCTACACATGATTTCAATATAATTACCTCCAAGGATTTTAAGCAACTCTAATATCAAAGAATCGTATCTCTTGAAAGGTCTATGTGAATTTAATAAACTGGAACATACTTGGTTCTAAGGTGTTAGGCGCACTGAGACACAAAGGAACAGGTCCTTAAAACATAGGCACAAGGCGTAAAACAAAGTTGCATGCCTTTCGTAAGCACTTAATTTCCATTGGTTCACTCCTAAAACACATAATTTCATCTCCACACTCTGTTCTTTCACCATTGCCTCCTAAAACGCTTAATTTCCTCTCCACACTATGTTCTTTCACCATTGCTTATTCCTTCCACAAGATAATACTACATATGTGGTATGTTTTTTATGGAAGAGGCAATTAAAAAGTTAGTAGACTGTTGGAGATTGTTAGTAGAATTGTCTCTGGCTGTTGCAAGTTGACCAAAGTTGTTAGTTTACTTGAAACGGTTAAACCCAGGTGATCCCTGATGAATTAAACTTTTTGTGTTGATTTGCTAGACTAGGTTAGGGGCTACGTAAAAGCTTAACGATTAAGAGTCAAAAATCATCTTATGTCCTATATTTTTCTACTTTACATGCTTGTTTTGCTAAACTTAATTATGTTTGCAGTCATCGTTCATTTAGCTCTTTTACATCCAATTGGATTCATACATGTTTGATTTTGAGAATGTGTTGCTGACTCTACCATTAATTGACTTAGCAACAGCTGTAGATGATATTCATTGCATCATCTCAAGGGTCATATAATATATTCAACTATTAATCATCTTGGTGGCAGCTGCAGATATTAGTTGTATCATCTCAAAGTTTATTTTATATACCATTATCTAACTCCAATAGATAATGAGCTTGTTTTTCATTTAACATACACCACGAATGACAAACAAGCTCATTGACTTTACTGAAGCAATCCTTGAAACCAGTGCAATGTGGTGGAGAGAGATAAAGAATGTCTGATAGAGGAATAAAACCGATTGAAAGTGATGGCTACTTTGAGGATCTTTAAAGTACTGAAGCCATGCTTCTTCTATCAAAACATTGAAACAACAAACTTTAATATGCTGAAACAGATGTATCATACACTCTTTATAACCCCTTTTGCAGTGTGAAGATGTTCTCTTGTCAAAGCACCTATCCAAGTTTTAAGGAAAATTCTCAAGGGAAGTGAGACCATGAAGAAACATAAAATGAAGCATACAAAATCAGGTTGAATGCTCAATCGACTTTAAAAAGGGCAGGCTAGGTAGCGATGGAGAAGACTGAGATTCCTATGGCCATGCCATAGTTACCTGAAAGGCTGCCATCTTGGAGATTGTAGCAAACAATGAATGCAGTATGGGAAATACACGGTATACGAGGGTCAAAACTTCATTCCAAAACAGTGCAAGACAAACCTAAACCTCAACTGTCAATTTCAGTACACCTTGAATCTGCGACTTCTATAATTGTTTGGACCACAGTAATTTGTCCATGGGTTTTAATGTGATCTTCTCAATGACACATGCATGAGAGTAGTCCAAACCATTTAATGAAATTGGCTTCCACCGAAAAATAAAAGTGAAGATAAAACGGGAAATGCTCACGACACCTTAATATACAACTAAAATAAGACGTTATCAGTTTTATTATTATTTGAAATAACAAAACTAGTAAAAAATAATCGAAAATATTATTATTTTTACCGGTTCTAATTACCGATATAGGTAAACACAATAAAAAATCTGATAAAAAAAATAATGTTTTAGGTAGCGTTTTACCGAAAATAATATTGTTTTGACTGATTTTTCTACCGCTGTTACCTATATCAATAATTGATAATAATAACAAAACCGGTGTAAATAATAATATTTCCGGTATTTTTTTACCGGTTTTATTATTTAAAATAATAACAAAACCGGTAACACTTTTTTTAGCAGTATAAAACATTATTCACGTTTCTAACAAAAGTGGTGGGTTTATCAGCTTTGTGTTGGATTAAATTCCTACACCACACCACTACACTTATTCTTTACAACATTGTACCTGGAGCAGCATAAATCCGACATCTGCCGAAAATTTTTAGGGGATTTGAGAGAAAGCTGGCGTATATAATCTTGCTCAACATCAAACAGAGAAGATACAAACAGTTAATGCATCCAGTGATATACTCATGCCAAGTCCCTTCATATGTGAAGCTCAAGAGTGGACACAAATTCCATAAACAAATTTGAATATATAGTAATTTAGGATAGTAGAGACAAATATACGATGCTCAACAAAAGGATTTTATCACTAAAAGAGCTTTCTTAAAAAAAGGTAATTTCTTTGCAAAGGAACAAATTTCAAGTTATGACGAAGGAAATAGATTCTTGTATGTTGGATGGAAAGCTATAGCAGGAAACATGCATGTTCTGGCAACCAGAGTGTTATAGTAGGAGAAGGGGATGAAGAACGTGGTGTTAGAATCGGAGGAGGCTACAGTTGTAAATAGTTAGCCCTTTATGTGGGAGAATATATTCTTTTGGAGAAACAAGCATTCTACTTCGTCTAAGATGGAGGTATTACTGTGAATTTATAACTTTTAATAACACAAACAAATCGATTGCCACTCTATCCAGACTTAGAGAAGAAGAAAACAAATAGATTTAGCTTACATCAACATCAACACACCCTTAATCAAACAAGGAGTTAAGCCCAAATCCAAGCTACTAAGCAGTGCAAAGCTCCACCTGCACATTCCACACCAAAATAGCTTAACACAAGAATTTATATTTCTCTATAGATTTTAGAGGAAGTTCAAGGTAAGAGTCGAGAGAAAGAACCTCTGCAATGGAAACTTGAATGATGCAGTATTGAAAGAAGTAAAAAAAATCTCCAGTCCCCATAGAATTAGAGGAAAAAGTATCCATTTTTCTCACACTTTTGTTTTTGATTTTCCCCATTATACAATACTGAAACATTACAAGGGAAAAAAAACAAGCAATCGTGTCTCAGGGACCCGACTCTTTTTTTCTTTTTAATCTTCATCTTGCTCCCAAAGTTGAAAACTTTACTGGCCTGATCCTTGGGAATCATCCTTAGCAGAGGGTTGCTGCTGGTGATGTTGCACCCTAGCTTGCTCCATCTCCTGATAAATCTGGCTCAAAGCATGAGGATTTAGAGCCCCAATATGACCATCCTGAGACAGACCAAGTTCCAAACCAGGGAGCGGCTGATTCGCTCCACCCATGATTGAGGTGAAACTCATCTGACACATGTTACTAGGAAAGTCAAAACCGGAAAAGCCAAGCTTTTGCGGATAATTGGAACTTTCACTGCCTAAATTTGTTATAGATGGTCCAGATGATGACTGAAACCCATAACCACTGACTGAGGGCCACAACCCGGTTGCCACATGATGGGGTCTCCCCAAATTTCCACCAGCCATTGTCCAACTGGTCCTACTGCTCCCTGACCCTATACTGGACCCCCCAAAATCTTCCATCTTTTGGTGCAACCCCGATGATAGAGAGGCCGCTGGCTGTGATAAACTGAGCCCCCAGCCGCAGCCAAAGCCGATGCCGGAATGGTTCCGGTCCCTGTGGCGGCAATTATGGATGGTTCAGCTTGTTGTAACAGCCACTGAATTGTTTCCCCATCAGATTTGTGACCTAATTCCCTTGTCAACTGAAAGATTCTAGCTGCACATAAAGCAGGCATCCTTATCCTTCTACCTCTTCCTTCGACTTTGGTATGCCTGTCTTTGTTGGAACTTCTCTTTGGGCCCAACTGCTGCTTCTTCCCTTCTCCTTTATCCGCGATCACTATCTGGAAATCCTTGATTTCACCTGCTTTATTCTCTCCCATGCTTTGAGGTTCTTGCTGCTGCTTGGGATCCATAAACTCGTAAAAGAATGGGATGTGGGCAAATTAAACGAAAACCAAACACGAAAAAACTAAAAGACTCCTCTTTGATTGAAGAAGGTGACCTGAAAAGTCCTTGCCTTTCACGAGTTTTTACTCTGTTCTTTGACAAGAAATGTGAATACAAACTATAATATTGAAATCCCAAAGCAAAACACACCCGAAATGTGAAAAAATTTATTCTGTTTTATGAGAAAGATGTCATCTCTCTCTCTCTCTCCATCCATTGGCCCTTGCTTTCATCGTTACCCTTTTCCTCACTGCAGTGAAGGGTTTTGACTAAACATGCTGATAGGATAGCAACTTTAACTGCCAATTTCACCTGAAGACACTAATTCCCACAGAATATTATCATTTACATTACCTTTTATAATTACATTCACACATCCCCATATGACCATATATGTCATCAATACATTGATGGATTCCTACCCTTTCACTTTATTACATCTCCACCTTGTATTATTGCAGTTTCCAGCTGCAATATGAAAATAAAGCTAACTCTTGCAAGAGGACTTGATTGTCATTTTTGATGAACGGTTTTCTGACAAGTGGCAACCTGGTTTTGCTTCTAACCTACTCTAGGCCATCCTTCTCATACACTTAAAAAATGAAGGCTAAATGTATATTTTAATCCTTAAGTTATCACTTTTCAATTTGATCTTTTAAAATCGTTTGATTCAGATTGATCCTTAAAAATATTAGAAGTTTCACAAAAAATATATTTAAAATTTTAAAAAGATGAAAATAATTAGAAAATAGAAAATATTCTAAAATTTTTTAAAAATATATTAAAAATATTAAAAATAAAAAAACAAAGAATTAAAATCTTAAGATATTCTGAAAAGTATCAAAAATTAGAAAATGCTTAAAAATAAAATATAAATATTTTCAAAAAAGTGTTAAAAATAAAAATAAAAAAAATTATAAAAAAATTTAAATGCATTGGTCAAAGATTATTTATTTCAATCTGACCCTACTATCAATCCTCAATCATATTTTTAATAGAATCAATTTTATATTAGAATAACAACAGTTTCTGTGATTCTTTTTATAATTTAAAAATATGTGATAAATATTGATCATTGTAATAGTCACGAGTCTTATTTTGAAGTTTACAATTTAGTGGAATCGGATTGGAGTATTTTTAAAGGTCTGACTTCGGGTCTTGGTTTTATGCCATGTTATAGTGGAGTCGATTGCAACAATGCTCTTTTGGTCATTAACAATTATATGGAGGAAAGTTTTTGTCCACCAATGATCCCACACATTGTTGATCTCATCAAGCGTGATCGGAGTTCATTTGAATCGTGTTTTAAGGGAGTACAATCAAGTGGCTGGTGTTATGACAAGATTGGCTTGAAGTCGTTCTTTTAGTGTTCACAAATTCCATGATCTGTCTTCAGAGATAAGTTTTGCCTTCTATCATAATTCTAGAGATAATTAGTGATTTTACTTGTTATCTAGCATGCCCCTTTCTTCTCACTTAAAAGAAAAAAAAAATAAAATTTAGTTTTTTTGTCATACAATTAACATAGAGAAAGGATATCGGTTTGAGTTTCTAGTTTTAATTCTTTCCTCTAGTTTAAAATTTTGGTTTCTAATAACATTTTAAAATATTTTATATTTAGAACCTATCAAGCATTTTTGTAGTAGAAGGGAGTGTTATTCTCCTCAAAGATCTCAGATTTGAGTAATTATATCTAAAGAGTATGTGCGTTGTTAATAGTTAAGAAAATTATTAACAAATACTACATTGTAATCATCCTATACTATTAAAAAATATTTTATATTTAAAAAATTTCAAATATTTGTCAAGTTAATTACAATTTATGTTTATTTTGTAATTTTTAAAATTTTAAACATTTTAATAGCTTTAAATATAATTTTGGTTATTATTTATTGTTATTTTTGAGAATTTTTTATTAATTTTTTGATTGAGGATTAAAATAAGTTTTGATCTAAAAAAATCAAATAAGTCTCTCTAACATGTCACATGACACATAGAGTGTCAAATTAGATTGTCGCATTTATAAATTTAATGATGATATCAATAATACAATGGTCATGTCCTTAGGCGACAACCGTCGGATGCGATCAGGAGGGTAGAGTCGATTACAGCCGACAGTGCCAGAAGGAGAGGACGACCAACGAGGAAGTGGGTAGACTGCTTGAGATCTGATTTGAAGGAATTAGCCCTCACCGAGGACATGACCTCTGACAGGAAAGTATGAAGACTTAAGACTATGGTAGCCGAGTAGTATGGGTCACAACAATAGGGTGTAGCATCTATGTCTTCTTTTAATGCCTTTGTAGTAATTTCCATGACTTCTACTTTTTTACGTTTCTGTCATTGGAATTTATGAAGGCTTAAAACTAGGGTAGCGGAGTAGTGTTGCCTTAGTTTAGGTTTTAACCCATTTGACTTTATTCCTTCTCGTAACTTGCTATCGTTGACTACTGTGTATCATTCTCTTAATGTTTCATCTTTTTAAATTAAGCCCAGACTTACGTTTTTGTCTATATGCAGAGATTTTTACGTAGGGATTTATTTGCAGGGATTACTTCCCATTACAGACGCATATGAAGACTGTTCAACTATGTATTTATTTATTTATTTACACATGCATTGTATTTTATCTTTATTTTTTAATTTTCTGATTGCCGAAGGTTTTCCACGGAAGTTTCTCTCAACCTGGCGTTGGGGGCAACCTACTAACCTACCTCCCCCTTACCTCTTTGCATATGGGAATAAGGTTTTGTTGTTGTTGTCATTAAATCAATTTTGTTAATAAAATGATATATTTGATGAATTTTTGACATAATAAAATACATTTATGTATATTTTTTAAACGATGAATCAATCTTTTTTTTTCTTTTTTTTTTTAAATGAAGTGAAGAGAATTGTAGCCCTGAAACCTAAAATATGAGTGTTAGCCTGTTAGAGTTGCTTCTGTAATCTTGACGTCTAACATAAGATGGGGGTAATATATTGGATCATATATCTGTAGGTTTCCCCATAAATTGACAGATAAAGACTTGTCAACTTTTTCACGCATATTTGTAGGTTGAAGGACAATGATTTACACATCTCTGAGCAGCATCCTCTTTCATTTGTTTTTACACTGTCGAAACGATTTTAAAAATAGAGGCGCTAGATTTAGAAAATCACGTTATTTTTAATTATTTTCTTAAGATTGAGTTTTAATTAAAAACAATGTGATTTTAGAAAATCTCTCGTTTCGAAAATTTGAGAATTCATTCACGATAAAAACACAGGTTCGAAGAGTCGCCACCAATCTTTGATTAGGGTGTGATTGGACACTCAAAAATATTGTCATTTTAAATAAAAATTAATTTTAATGAAAACAACAAATTTAGGTTTGCGTTACCAGAAAATGAGTTCGGGAGTCGGTTACGCGTGGGGAAGAATTAGCACACCCACAACGCCCTAAATCGGTACCTTGTCGATTAATTAATGTCTTTGCAATGAAATTTACAAATTCGATTTTAATTTGGTTTATGATCCTCGACAAAACAACATATGAATTTTACAATATTCAAAAGCTCCAAAATAGATTAAATTAAAATTACCAGGCCTTTTAGAAAGATAAAAGAATATTCGATTATTTACAAATATCGAGACCAGATCTTAGATAAGTTCTAACTATCTTTTCTCGATAAATTTAAATAGTCGAATATTTCTTTTTCTTCCGTTCCTAAACTTTAAAGTGATGGATCATTTTTTTGTGTCACTAATGGGATACCCTTTTAGTTTAAAATCATCAAAAGTGGATATCTAATCAGTTAAGACAACCCACTTAAAACGATTTTAAATTAAAAGGATATTACCCTTAATCAAATTATATAATAACGTCGAGTTATACACGTGAGGATAACATGCAAAAATTAATTAAATAATGGTTATAAAGAAACATGCAATACTACATTTTAATATCAAAATTATATACATACATTTTGCAACTACAAATTATAAGCCCTATATATTTTAACATGTAGTGCATAAATGTAACTTAAATACAAACACACAAAACACAACATACCAAAATATGCATAAAAATTATATGTATCAGAATATGGACTAAGTAATATTGAACAAAACTTTAGTGCCTAAAAAATAAATCAGATAATAAATGAAGTAGAAATGCACACATTAGACCATACGATATTTTAAGACTAAAAATAAAAAACCCTCACAATTACACAAGATAAAAATCAAAATAAAACCCTAAACATTCATAGAACTGAAAAGTAACATGCGAAAAATTGAAGTTCTAATATCTAAACAAACAAAAGTTACACAAATAAACACTTAGGACTAAAATCAAATGTGCATACAAATAAAAGACCAGATTAAAATGTAAGACTCGATTTTAAGGCTAAAATGAATTGTAAACGAATCACGAATGACAAAAAAAAATAATGCAAACACAGTTGAACAAACCTAGGTATCCCAGACAACGCCGTTTTGATACACGGGTATATCCCCTATTCTCCGTAAGAATGAATCCCTAGCATTCTACCTAAACATTTCAGCTGCAATCACCCATTTTCTCAACCCCTCCATGGCTGCTACTCATGACACAGCTCGCTCCAAAAGACCCCATGGACGAGACTAAACTAAATCGAACCTAGACCCTCGATTTCTCGTCTATCTTTACTATTACAAAACCCTCGAACACCAGACCACATGCAACGACTCCCCACTTCTAAGGCCGACGAGTTCAACCCCCAAACCCCGACGCACTACAAGTTGAAGGTTGTTTTTGTGTTTGAAATAGGTGAAGAAATTATCAAAATAAAGAAATAAAGACCCTGCAATTCCTAATTTATATGTATTTTGATTTCGACACAGAATCAATCATGCACCAAGAAAACTAGAAAAAAAATAAAAATAAAAATAAAAATAAAAATGAAGGACCCCAAGAAGAATACCTCAAATCAAATCGTATTTCTATTGCTTTCTCGACCTTTGAATACAATTTTGAGGTTTCTGTTACAATGGTTTCTGTTCGTTTTTCCATGGGTAAGCAAAAATCCTCCTCTTCTATCTAGAATGGTTGCTATCCTGTTTTACAACTTTCCAATGATAGATCCGAACCCCTTTGTTCCAATCGTTCTTGATGACCCTCTCTCCCGTTGGTGAATTTTTCGTTATGTTCTTCCCTCCTGTTCGTGACCTCTTCTTTGATGCTCTCCAATGTTAATTGTTGATCCCCCTCTCTCTGTAGGATGTCTTTTTTTAAGAATAGATGCTGAACCAATGTCTATGGTACTGCCTCACTCTTTTAATCCCCCCCTTTTTGATTACATGTGTT